GGGCCACGGGCCGGCCGTGCCGGGGCTCTGCTGGGCACCACGGGGAGGGAGGCTCCCCGCCAGCTTCGAGCAGCCGCTGCTCTTCTCACCTCTGCACTGCCTACCAGTGAGGACCCGAGCTGGGTGCTGAAGGGCTGTGAATGTTTCCAAGCGGGTTTGAGTCAAAATGAGATGCAGATACGGACAACCTTGCCTGCTGAGGCACAAAGCCCCATGGTCTGGGCTTATCTCTCTCCTATAACTGTGCCAGACCGGGCAGCGCACTGCTCGTGAGGCGGCAGGAGTGCATGTGGCGGGGTGCTCCACTGCACCCCCAGAGCAGCTCGAGGCTCCTGGGGGCGGGTTGTGCTTGCAGGCGAGATGAAGGAGTGAGGAGCCAGCTCTAAAGCTTTTGGGTTTCCCAGCCTGCTTCAGCGCTCATGGAAATGAAAGCATCCAAGGGCTGGCGAGGGACTGGCACCGCAGCAGCATGTCCATGGCTAAGCCAGGACAGGGAAACAAGTGTTGTGATTCCTGGTCTCGTTACTTCACAGCTTCTCCAGAGCAGCTTGCTCTCCTTTCTCCTGCCTCCCAACCCCAACAATGGCCGTGCCTTCCCTCCGTTCCCCATCTCGCTGCTGTGAATGCTGGCGGGAGGGAGCGATGCCTCTTCAGCTGATGAACTTGGACTCAAATTTCTGTGGTGGGACAGGCTGAAGCCACCATTTTGGATATGAGGAATGGCCACATTCAGCCCCTGTTGGGGACAGTCCCACCTTCCTTCAGAGAGGCACGATTTCATCAGGCATCTCTGCCACTCCTCCCCACCTCGCAGGGCCTTGCTAGGGTGCTCAAGCTACACCAAACCTTGCTGAGTCATTACTATTCCCCCTGCTCCAAATTTGTCTCTTGTTTAACGATGCTACTAAGAAAAAGATGCCTTTGTTAATACCCAAAATATGTTTTGCAGCCTCAGCCTTGAATATTCTTGGGTGACAAGGCAGGAGCTCACTTTGACTTTGCTCGGTATGTCCTGCCAGACATCCAAGTCCCCTTCTCTCAACTCTTGCTCTCAGAATGTCTCTGCACGCTTGGCAAACACCGCTGGCACGAGCAGCCTATGACACTGCCTGGCCCAAAGCACTGGCCCACGTGGGATGGGTCCAACTGTCGCCCTGCAGAGGCCAGGGGACATCCGAATGGACGGTGGTCAATGCCAAGGAGGCCCTCTTGGTTCACCGCCCACCATCCAAGCACGCCTAGAGTACATTTTTTGCCTCTCCCCCAAACCTCTAATGCCATTTGGAGAACCAGTAGGGGCCTACAAGTGCCCCAAAGCACAGGAGCTGGCAGGCAGCATGTTGGGAGGGAGCAGGGGCTGCAGGCTGGGGTGGGGAGAGCGGCCACGACTGCCCCGACAGCAACCTCGGCTCACCGGTCACTGGGGAGGGGATGTGCTCTTTGCTGGAAATCGGGGTGCAGAAATCTCAGTAAATAAGCCCAAATTCTTGCTGCCCTGCACAGTTGCTGTTCCTGGGGCAACTCCTGCATCTGTTGGCCCATGCTGTGCTGTTCCCTTGCCCGTGGCTCCCGGCTCCGGCGGTGCTGAGCAGGGGTGCTGGGCACGGCCCCGGCCCGCCGGGGCAGGCCAGCTCGCGGCGCTTGCGTCAGCAGAGCCGCGGCAAGGGCAGGAGCGGAGAAGCGCAGCCAGGCTTCTCGCACAGACGCCAATCCCTTTCCCTTCCTCTCGCTTTCTATTTCGAGCTCTCCCGGTCTCCCCCTCGTCCTCTACGCGCAGCCCCAGTCGGGCTGCGATTCCCGGCTCTCCCACAATGCTCGCCGGCCTCCAATCCCTTTCCCTTCCTCTCGCTTTCTATTTCGAGCTCTCCCGGTCTCCCCCTCGTCCTCTACGCGCAGCCCCAGTCGGGCTGCGATTCCCGGCTCTCCCACAATGCTCGCCGGCCTCGGGGTCCTGCCAAGCAGGCGAAAGACATCTGGTGCAAATTAGCGGGAAGTAAAATATACTTTATTTCTTCTTTTGTCTAAATGCGTCTGAGTCATTAAGTGAGCTCATGGGTGCCCGCGTGCACTAAGAGAGCCCCGGATGGAGCGCGTGATTGATGCTGCTCGCAGCCAGGGATCGAGGGCTTCTCCCGGTCCGGGACACCGTCCCCCTCTTCCAAAGCGGCAAAGAGCTCCCCGCATGATGGCGGACCACCCCTGAAACCCCAGCCCTGCTTGCCTGGCAGCGAAGCGCTTTGGCTGGTC